GGTGTTGAAAGTATCCTTTAAAATATCATTCTGATGATCATCATTTGAAAAATTTAATGACGTCGGGAAAGATGGAAGATTGGGTCATATATATGTCTTCTCCTGTTATTACCTTGTTATGCTGCTCGTATTACAATTTCTCCTGTTGATTTCTTCACGTCTGTCGTTCTATCAACAATAATTCTCCTCTTCCCAAACGCTGGGAAGCTCTGTACTTGGCGGGATCTCCTTCCATTTAGCTCAGGTTACATTAAATTCTTCCTCGTTGATTGCCTCTGGAGGGGAATGGATACGGCTAGAAATTTCGATGTGAGGACAACGTGACTCAGTCATGCTGCTCTGGGCCGCGGAAAATTGCACAGATTTTTAATCCTATTGCCACAAAGTTCAAAGGAGTTTTCCAAAACCTGCTGGAAAATTGCGCTTGTATTTTTGGTATCGAGTATTTCTGAGGTTGCACAGGTATTCGACATGGTACCGACTTGAGATTCTATAAGAATACGTTTAAGCAGTAGACCTCTTCATTTAGTCAATTTGTGAAGACTGTTATTTCATTTCAGTGTATATTTATTTTTCGTTCTTTCTCTGTCACGAAAACCTCCATTTTAAGTTTCTTTTTGAGCGCGACTAAATTGTATGGGGGCATACACATTTATGAGATTGCAGTGGAGGAGCAGTTAGTGCGCTCGTCTCCGAAATGGAAAGTCTGGGTTCGAACCTTTGCTTCAAAATGTATATTTTTTTTGCCCCCTCCTACCCACCCAGCAGTAATGGGTACCTGACTTCGAGTTGGGAAAGTAAAGGCGGCGTGGAAAGGAACTGACCACCCTACCACAATATGCCAAAGGCCCAGGAAGTTGTCTTACAAACAAGGCAATCCCCAATGTCCGGATCGGATGCGGGAACAACTTTCCTTTAAAATTTTTATACACATTTATACAAACCCGCTAATATATTTATTTATTTTCTGGTTCATCTGAGACAAACACCCCGGACTATTTCAAGCAAAACAATGTACCCCCCCCCTTTCGATACCCAACCTGATAGGGAAGTCTTGAACTGGTTTTAGTGAACACCCAATCTATCAGAGAGTCTGATTCGACTACTGACTACATAATCGATACCACACTAAAAACCTGCGCAATATACCGTACATAGGAAGGGCGGCTTATTGAGGAAGACGTTGAATAACAGCGTAAAACCTGCGGGATTCCCCCCCCCGCTGCTCTTTCTTTTTGCCAGACTCATCCCCGAGGTAGCAACAGGCGCTACAGGAAGGAAGAATCCCCATGATAGGCATTTGATGGTTTGTAAGCTGGCAGTGAATGGAGCTGCGCACGTAATATTTGCATGTTTGCCAGTCAGTTTCCTGATTTTGAATCCGTGGATTAAAAAAAATAATTGCACTTTATTTATTTGTGGTATCGTTTTAATGTGCCCGAGAAAAAACCCATTTATTGAAATTCAAATTTAACGTGTGGAATAAATCAAAAGAGATACTCAATGTCTTGAAAGAATAAAATGGGCCAAGTTAATTCTCTCCGCTTCCGGAAAAATATTTTGCGTTCTCTGTCTAGAACTTACAGTTAACCCTATCCGTACGCCCTGAGGTCATTTTGTACCCCAGGGGTTGTATTCTTCACATTTTTAGAATACTTCTAGCGCGAAAATCTCTTTGAAACTTTGAATATTTCTCAAAAAATCATTTTGACAGACTGCTATGCACACCGTACGGATCGGATTAACGAGTAAATTTCCTGTTTGGAAAGTGGTGGCACAGAGTTCCCCACGTCATATTATATTATAGATACGACAGTAAACCACGACGTTCGGATAGGGTTAAATAAATTGCCCACGACGTAGATCTAGATAGTTTATATAAGAGCGCATTTGTATATAAAGGAAAATGTAATACTTTAGGATGTTCACGACAAGAAGTCCCATCTTAGGATAAAACGCATGGTGAGTACTTTTACTATAATAATGATAATAATCCTTATGATAATGAAAATGATATTGGAATTAGTAATGATAATGATACTGATTATTATAGTCTAATGATAAATGTAATGATAACGATAATTTTACTGATAATGATAATGACAATGGAAATACTTATACAAAATCTAATGCCAATGTTAATGATGAAGATGAATCAACAACAGTAGCTGCAGCAGCAACATTAACAACAACAACGACAACAACAATAACAACAACAACAGCAACAACAACAGCTACTACTACTACTACTACTACTACTACTACTACTACTACTACTACTACTACTCCTAAATATAAATATAATCATAATATTATAATGCTCCCCCCACAAAAAAATATTCTTCATCAATGTCTGACAAAGAGCAACGTATATATTTACATGGAGAACATTTCTTAACAGAAATAAAGAGAAATACGGATTAAGATCAACTGGTCGCTTTTAAACACAAAGGGGACTATCCCGAAAAATGCTGTTTTGAGAAAATGGAAGGTAAAGTTTTTTCCCCTTGTTCAGTTTCTCTAAAAGACAAGGAGAGTTTTCTCTATAACCAAACCAATATACACACCAATAAAACCAATCTTCTTCTATAGGTAGGGCAATGCCCCCTTTTGGGGTAGGTCAAGATTTCTGGAACCCCCTCGAAATCGGGGTCAGCCCGTTTGTCCTTAAAAGCGACCAACTGTGGTTTATGCTGTGGTCAGTGAGACCAATGCCTTACTATTTTACACGTGTGATAGGGATATCTTTTATGGTTGGGAATTTAAAAAACTTGAATGTTGCCCGCCAGGCGATCTAACGGCCTACTCTTTTACGATTTTTAACCACCACAAGATCTTTAACGTGCATAACGTGTATACGGGAAGTGTTTTTCCAAGAGGACTAGGTGTTCGATCTTACCTTTCTTAAGATCAGGGGTGTTGAGGTAGGAGGTTGACAGAGTAGGTGAGCGAGAGAGGGGATCTCCCTTCTTTTCTTAATGAAGAAGAAGAAGAAGAAGAAGAAGAAGAAGAAGAAGAAGAAGAAGAAGAAGAACAAGAACAAGAACAAGAACAAGAACAAAAAGAACAAGAAGATCAAGAAGAGGTATCACATCCAATGACGTATTGCAGATCATTGGCACAAATGCGCACGATCTAAACGAACGATTCGGCAGTACTATTTGGATTTGTTAGGTGTAGTTTGGTCTTTCTATGCGGCATTTCAATTTGTTACGTGTCTATTTGAATTGAAAAAACTATAGTACCATAGATCTTGAAGGCGTATGCCGATTTGATGTCTCTTGGAGCAGCTTCGCTGAAGACGGAGAACATGTCTAGGAAATCCTCAAAGGCCATATCGCCAGTGCCGTCGTCAGAAAAAACCTGACAGATGCGACGCCGGAAGGGATTCTCCTGTTGGAGTACAGCAACAGCTTTTTAGTTTAGTTTTAGTAAGTTTTTTTTTACGGCACTTGCAACACAATAAGGTCATATAAGTGCCGAAGATTAGAGGTGTTACAAGAGAGTAACAAACACAAAAAAAGAAGGAGGGGAGATTAAGACGATAGATGTTTGATGGGAAAGAAGAAGCAAACCACACCAGAGCACCCATCAAACACCCACTTGCAACAGTTTAAATTTTTTACCAATCTAATAAAGGACTGCATTTTTAGTTTTAGCTTCGGTAAACGTTTAACGACACTTGCAGCTGCTCAGTTATATCATACAATAAATAATAATATTAT